ATGGTTTTGTGTAATTACCACTATTATTTATCTTTTGTGTTGCACTAAATTATTGGTTGAATTGGTATCATGAAAAATGCTATTCATCCCCAGTGGGAATGCATCCCCAATCTATGTGGATGTAAATGATTGGTTAAATGATATGTGAAATTAGATGACTTATTTAATTTCACTTATCATTTAATGCCGCATTAACGCCACATAGATTGAGGATGTATCCCCAATGGGGATGAATAGCATTTCTCTTGGTATCATAGGCTGATTAGTTTTGGCCATGCTAGATGAAGGGCCACGTCGCCCCGACCCATGTTTGGACTCCCATACTCATTAGTTTTGGACCTTTCTTTTCAAAAGAAGATAGCCCCGTTTGGGTGTCAAACACCATTATTTTTAAAAAATAGATATTAATTAAATTTTATCTATAAAATAATTAATTAAAAATATATTTTATTATTAATTAAATATATATGATCACAATTACGTATTTATACGTTACAATTTATTTACCGATTACAAATTATCAAATTATTGGTCATAAATTATTTTTTGTTACAAATCAAAAATTTTAGAGGTTACAATTCATTTATGGATCACAAATTTTATAGATCACAACTTATTTTACGATCACAAATTATTTCATTTGAAAGAATGCATAGTTAAAAATAATTTTGATGAAAATGGAGCTCAAACAGGTAAAAAAAGAGAAATTTGTACCTAGTTTCCAAACGCCCTTGGTCCATGAGTACTAGTTTTTCAAAATCGTACTTTGGATCAATTATCAAAATTATACAAATAAGAAATGTTGTATATACGAGTCTATGACCCTATTTGATCTATATTCTTTAAAAAAAATGTATTCTTTCAATACTCTTTTTCAATCACATAATTTTAGATAAAATAATATTATAAGCAGATCCAAAACTTTTCCTTCCTTTTTTATCACATATTTTACACCAGATCATTATTTAAAATACATTCTTTCCTTAAGAATGTGCATCAAAGAGGGGCTAACGAGAGATTTCAAAATTATATTCGAGCAATGCCAAGCACAACTTTGTACACGACTGAAACGATTTTTAAAATTTCCTTATTTCCCAACCCAATCAATTGGACTGCAAGGTTTTCTAGAAACACTTCCCAAGTAATTTACCAAAAACCAAAGATCGCATAATTAGAAATTCATCCCAATAATCCCTACTACATATAAAAGAGCCAGTTTTTATTGTTCATGCCACGTCGTCGTCAACCAATATGGCGTCGTTTGTCCTAGGATAAATTGCCCTAATTGCTCTCATTGTAGGCAAAAAACCCTCCACCTCGGGATCTTT